GGTTTATCGGGCGCAGTTGCGCCACATATGTCCCTGGCGACTAACCAGCCACCGCGGTCTCCCAAAGAGCCCGCGACAAGCTATTCCCCACCCTCAACCGGTGCTTTTCTCCTGAAGCGGCCTTTGGCTTCGATCAGCGCCGGCACTGTCAATGGCTTCGGTAGTGGCGCTGAAGAAAGTACACATTCCAGCACCTCAAGCGATGGTTCGCCTTCACAGGAAAGAGAGGAGGCTTGGGACTCGGGTCTGAGCTCTGAGGACCGCGCGACCAAGGACTCGGACGAGTGCAACGCCGTGTGCGAGGAGGAGCTTTCTTCCTCGGCCTCGATGGCCGTCCCCACCTTAACACATGCTTCGACAACGTCAGCTTCTATTTCTTTGTCCTCGTTATCTCATACGCCCACGAACTCTGCCTCCAGTGTGTCGTTTCCTACAAGGGTCCACCCCGAGGAAAGTTCTGCTTGCGCCGCCGCTGAACAGAAATTTCAAATAGCAACAGCGACCTCGCCAAATTCTCTACAAGTCGCTGTGTGCAACCCTCCACCAAAGCTTTGGTTACCTTTGGATGGGCGCGGGAGTGGTGGGCGAGGACAAGCCTACCCGGAGGACAGTTTGTTATCGAAGAAAGAGGCCCTCGTCGCAATGTTCGAGCGCCTGGTCCCAGACAAGGAGGGGACTTGGAGGGGGCTAGCGGTGGAGGATTTCGGGGAATTCACGAAGAGCTACTGCCGGCTGCCAGGCTTCTTGCAGGAGCCCCTCTTCCGTAGGGTTATGGCTTTCGAGGAGCACCGTCCCGCGCCTCCACCAGCAGGGTCTAGGCCGTCGTCCGCCTGGAACCAGGTAGGAAACAAGATTATACATGGCGTGGAGGACGTGTCGTCGTGTGGCGACCCGGACGCTTCGCCCCAGTCGATTCAGATGGCGGGCGCCGTCATCGGGAGCGAGGGAAGGAGCCCGTCCCCCACCGCCTCTCCCTCCGGCTCCTCGTCCAATTTGTCTGCCGCCGGTGCCTCGGGGCGTGAGACACTCTCTCTGGACACCCTTTTGCGTTTCTGGGCCATCGAGATGGCGCCTTTCGACACAACAGACAGGCTCTTCCGCCTGCTAAAGCAGCCTGACGCCACCTATATCGTGAAGGACGACCTTTTCCCCTTCCTTGCACCGTTTGCTGAAACACATCCTGGACTCGAGTTTCTCCGGAGCCATCCAGATTCCAGCAGAAATATGCTCTGACCGTGGCATCGCGCATTTTTTATACCTTGAATCGGGCGGGCACAGGGAAGATCTCGGCGAAGGAGTTGCGGCGCTCAGGGCTGCTACGGGCGATGCAGTTCGTGGACGAGAACGAAGACATCAACAAGGAGACGTCTTTTTTCTCGTATGAACATTTTTATGTTCTCTATTGTCGATTTTGGGAACTTGATACAGACAGAGATGGGGCTTTGACGCGCGAAGACCTCTTGAAATACGGCGACCACTCATTGAGTAATGCGATTGTGGATCGAATCTTCGAGGTCGGAGCACGGCCTTTTGAGGATGGCCTAGGTGGAAAGCGGAGCTGCAAGGAACGGGAAAAAATGATGTACGAAGACTTCATATTTTTTATGCTGTCAGAGGAGGACAAGGGAAATGAGGCGAGCCTCCGGTATTGGTTCCACTGCGTCGACGTGGACGGAGATGGACGCTTAAGCCTTCAGGATATGCGCTACTTCTACAACATTCAGCTGCAGCGCATGGAGTGGCTCGGTCATGAGCTAGTCCCTTTCGAGGATGTCCTTTGTCAGATGCTGGACATGCTCAAGCCCACGCGCGACCTGAGTCGTTGCCGCCAGCAACGTGTTTTCCCTGTGGCAGTTAGTGCGGGAGAAGGCAAAGGAAGCAAAAGCCAATTGCAAGATAAAGACGACGTGCGGGCTGTAGAAAAGACACGCGGAAAGTCTTCAGCGCCTCTAGTGGTAAATGCGGCCGCAGCGTTCGCACAAGAAGAGGAAGTGCGGGCGGGTGGGCTGCACATTGAGGATTTCCTCCTACCCGACAAAATTAAAATCGCGGGCGTCTTCTTTGACGCTCTCTTCAATTTGAATAAATTTCTGGCCTTTGAGCAACGTGATCCCTTCGGGGATCGACAGAAACGCGAGGATCCTTTTGATTCGGATTGGGAGCGCTTCGCGTACCGAGACTACCAGCAGCTGGCTATGGATGAAGAAGACAACGAGGGGGGCTCGTATGCAGAGGAGACAGAAGGGCAACAAATCACCAACATGGATGTGGAGGATGAAGGAGATGACGAAGATGATGACGATGATGAGGACGAGAAACGGGCCCTTCAGGCGGTGCCAGGCAGCTCTATGTTGGGTGAAACGTCGGAGGGCATGGAGGATGCTGAGGGGGCGGGATCCGAGAGGAGTGTGGCGGACGGCAGTAACGTAGGTGAAGTCGAGGGCGCGTCTGGCAAGCTTTCGCGAGAAAGCAAGCAGATGCTCAACGGCGTTCCTCTCCATTGAGAAGGGGTGCTGAGAAGTGCGGTCATGAAAGGAGTGACGAGAGTTAGGTAGAGTGTTGGCTAAAAATGGATCGGTGCCTCGGCACAGACTCGAAATCAATAGCGCGAGGCGAGAATGAAGACGGTGGAGTAAATAGAGGACTGTGTCCGGAAGGCAGTGACCTGGACCTGATGGTGATGTTGTCTGCATGAAGATCTAGGTAGGTTGTGAAGGAAGCACAACAGGAGCAAGGGGAAATTAGACGCGTGCGTGTCGCAATGACGGAAACCTAGCCGGTAGAAGGCATGCAATAACGCCATCACATGTCTTCGCGAGAAACAGGTCAAGTTCTGGCCTGACATCTTTAGCAAGACTGTTTACAATATAGGCGTATATTTCGATGCTATTCAAGTGTGCCGCATCTTCTGTTTTTGCGAGCAAGGGAGATAAAATACCCATGAGCCCCAAAGTGGACACAGGAAAGAAAAGGTCATCACTGGCCGCTCGCAAGGGGTGTAAGTGCTTAAATGTCTAGAGGACGAGAAAGCATCAATAAAATTCGTGGCAGTCGGACTTTTACTTTACCCATAGCACTTCACTTCACATTTCACACGATTTACTCCTTGACTATCGCTCAAAATCAATCCTTTCGCTCCACTTTTTGGTCGCCGTAGTTGCCCACAAGGCCTCTTCAACATCTCGCAGAGAAGCATAGCTGCTGCTTGTCCTCCAGACAGGAGAGTATACTTCGGAAGCAGGCGGCTGTGTGCCGCCAGCTGAGCCCGGCCTCGCTCTTTCGTATCTGCCTCCTCCCCCAGCAGCATGCTCAAGATCTGACCGGCTGCTGGTGCAGTGGGGTTCCCGTGCAAAAGCAGCTAGCAGCGGCCCAAGCGCGGCACTTGTCTAAGCAGCCGCTCCCAGATTCTGGTTCCACTAGAGGCGCTGATGGCTGCTATGATTAGCAAACTCCACTCCCTGACTCCCATGTCCAGACCGCTTATTTGCCTCACGCTACCCTGCGCCACGAAACTTGTGTGATCGGCCCCTTTGAAGCGAGTCACGTGATACGCCCTGACCGCAGCCGGGACCAAGATCATTAACCTGCCTGGCTGCACACCCTCACCTATCAGCCCCTCATCCTCGTCCACATGCCTGCCACGTCCAGTCGGGGAGCAGTCGTCAGCATCGAGTCCATTGCACAAGCATTGATGCCCTCTCTCTCGGGACCCCCCAGCCTTGCCAGACTGTGCCCGGTTGGATGGCTCGTGTCTAAGGACAGAGCTGTTTTTTTTTCGTCGGCACAGGGCAGGAGACTAATTACTGTGAGGATCCACTCGGTAGGCAATAAGCACCTACTTCACTACGATGCAGAATAGGTTTCGAAGCAGAGAGGGGAGACCCAGGACGACGATACTGGGATCTTGCGTGGTGACGTGTCAGTTCAAGGCTTGCGGGTAACGCTTTCTATCCTCCCCTGCAAAGCATGAGTTTTGATTTCCTTGCTGTTGATGAATTACTTCGTACTGGGAAGGCTTCCTCGCTAACTACATCCACCTTTCTTGTTGACATTCCGTTAAGACGAGCAGCATGAGTGCATGCCATGGGTCCATAAAACGGCAACGGCATCTCATGAATTGGCAGCTATATTTCTTATGACTATCTCCAACTCAAAGTCCGCTGTGAGCTTGCAAAATGATTTAAGAGCGCACACTGAGAGAGCTTCAGTCGAGTCCGAGGATGCTAGCGTAGCAAGCACCTCGTCAAGCTGGAGAAAACGAGGGTAGGTGACTGCGACGACCGCTGCAGCAATAAGGGGATGAGTATGAGAAGATATAGTGGGAGGATTTCCAAGGCCCGCGTGTTTGGCTGATCTAGAGTGCGAGGACGTTTATGACTAACGCTTGTCAGCTCGGCTAGAAGTTGGTGGCAATCCTTGATACTCTAGATAACTTAGCAACAGAAGGAGTAGCACCGAACACTCCTCTGACAGATAAGAGTATGTGGGGGTACTACGCTTGCACTGGTTTTTGTTTTGGCGCATGAAAGCTTGCTGCTGGGTACCAGGGGTTGCACGTTGAGGAGGTTTTTATGCTGCCAGCGAGCCACTGGCGAGAAGAACAAAACTTGGTCGTCGAACACCTGGTCTCCTGTCACTTTTCAATTGGCTTGACGTCTCCGTGCTAGCAACTTGCTATTTGTAGTGGCGAGCTTGGTGAAGCGCTTTCCAGCAAATACACGCAATGTTTAGTTAAAGTGTTTCGAGTAACACGCCCGTCGAGAGCCTGGAGCTGCCGTGCAATAAGAAGTATTTGTTGCCGGTTGCCGCCACCCGTTTGCTACAGGATTTTAATGGAACAATTGACCAACCAAAACCTATTCATTCCCGTAGCGACAAGAGTATAAACTGAGAGGTACTAGGCGCCATTGACCACAAGCCTTAGGAGGTGCCGGGAAATAGTAATCCACCTTACCGGAAAAGTAAAGATTTTGCAGCTTAACACAACACGTCACAGAACACGATGATATTGATCAGTAATGATTTTACAACTTTTTTGAGCGTGTTCACGCGTTCATGAATGATGAGGAATGGGATTACTTGGTGCTCTTGCGGCAGCGCAAGCAGTTTTGAAAATCAGTTTCTCACATTTACCTCACGCTTTAAGACGACGCTTCAATCGCACATGTCCCTTGATTGAACAGCTGCCAAGGGTCAAAAGTCCCTTAAGGATGTCGCGTGACCCACGACTGGGTTCGACACAAGCGTGGTGGACGAATGAGCTAGCTTTTACATTCCTCTTCTTTTTGAACCTTCTGAACTACATTGACCGTGGCATCATCCCCGGGGCTGCAGAGGAGTTCAGTGACTTCGTTGCTCACTCTCTTGGTACTTCAAGCCCGGACTTGTTCGTAGGATTGCTGCAATCCGCATTCATTGTGGGCTTCTCTCTAGCGGCTATTGTCTTCGGACATGTAATCCACTACGTGGCTCCTTTCAAGATGGTTGGAGTCGGACTTGTGATCTGGATCATCGCCACAGCTTTGAGCGGCTTGGCCCACCACGTTGCGTCCTACTATCTGCTCTGCATCGCGCGCATGCTCAGCGGCGTGGGGGAGGCCGGTTTCCAGTGCGTGGCCCCGCCCTTTATCCTGGACCTGGGCGGGGACAGCGGGGGTCGATGGGTCGCCGTTTTCTACACAGCCATCCCTTTGGGCACGGCGATCGGCTATCCTTGGGGCGCCTTATTCGCGGGCTCTCCTTGGACATGGGCCGGGGGCTTCTGGGTAGCGTCCTTTCTGATGCTTCCGTTCGCTGTGACGTGTTTCCTGCTGCCTTTCACCTGGAGGCCCGAACGCGCGCCTATCGAAGGGGATGACGTCCGGACAGACGGCGACTTGAAAATTGCTGCCAAGAAAGCATCTAGAGACAAAAATGGGACCGACAGCGCTGAACTTCACAGTGTGACAAGACATGACGCTTTGTTGCGACACGAGCAGGAGGTTTCTGTTGCTGATGCAGAAGCACAATTTGAAGCCCGCCATATGTCGCTACTCAGAGAGGCCTGTGTGGTGCTGCGACGGCCAGTATTTTTGCTGAATGCTTTTGGTTACGCTGCTAACACGGGGATGATGATTGGAGCATCGACGTTTTCGAGTAAGATAATGCTGGATTTTGGCTTTTTTTCCTCGGAAAGCAGTGCTTCCAGCGTTTTTGGAATCGCTCTATCGTTGGCTGGGCTCTTAGGTACGCCCTTAGGGGGGGTCCTTGTAGATCGTCGACATTTCCATTCGGAAGAAGCAAAGCTGGTGTTTCTACTGCGTCAAAGTACGATATTTGCGACGCTGGGTTGTATTTGTTCGTCCCTAAGCTGCTGGATTTATCAGCGCGAGGTCTTTCTCGTGTTTTTTGTGGCCGGCGCTCTACTCCTCTTTGTCTGCACAGCCTCAATCAACATGGTTACCATGCTCTCTGTGCCCCCAGCAAACCGCTCGTTCGCTATTGGCCTCTGCACACTCATCATGCATGCTTTAGGCGATGTGCCCTCTCCCATCGTTGTTGGTGCGATCCTTGACACCTTGGCTCCAGATTGTGCTGCAGACATGAAGAAAGACGGGAAAGTGTCCCCGGAATGTACGGCTCAGGTTTCTCAAGTCCGTTTGACGTTATTCATTACGTGCATGTGGCTCTTGGTTGCGATTTTATGCTGGGGAGTGGGTTATGTTGTGGCCAGGAGAGAATATCACAGGCACCACGCGGCGCACCGTTACCTCTATTTGGACTGTGGGTCTGTCGAAGGAGAAAAGATGAGTCGGTCTGGCGACCGCTCATCTGAGGTCCCAGACGAACGTAATCAGCCGCTCTTGCGCAAAATATAGTCAAGATAGATGTAATATAATGCCAGCCTAGACTGAGTTGTAGATCTAAAGGAAGAAATGCACCCTGAAGAAGAATCATAAGCGTGGGATAGTGGAAGACACCTCAGATATGATAACTCGGGCGGAATGAATGCCTCGTCCATAAAAGCCTCTCATCGCTTTGCCGACAGCCATAACACACATGAAAGCACTTTTCACTTACAGTTGTATTTGCGACAGTGTCTCTTGCTTGGTTTCAGGGAGCATCCGTTAAAAATCCACCACATTCACAGGAACACCCGCTTCTTCTGTAGCTAAGCACTTAGTACTGCACATAATGCCCGCCCTCCTTTTCAATCAATTTCATGTGACAAGGAGAGAGATGTAGATAGTCAAACGATACCAAAGTTGTCAAAAGATAAGGCCCTCGTTGTGCTAGACAAGGCCCTCGTTGTGCTGGGCACGACGTTGTCTTAAATGAAAATGTTCGGATGGGAAATGCTCGGCAAGAAATTTTCATAGCTAGCGCTACCTTTCCGAACAGCCACCACTGTTGTCAGGAAAACTAGAGTGCATCCTTGAAATGCTTTTGTACGCCATCAAAGCCGATAGCGTTTATAAGCATGACAATTGTAGCGTGTGATTTGGGCGAATCATCAAGTTTCAGGAACCCAAAAATGTCGGGAATTAAAAAAGCAACAGCTCATGTCCGAACGTCAGTGTGTCTCCTTGACTGGATGGGCCGACTCTCTGAGCCTGGCCATCTTGCCCAAGCTGCGGGAACCTGGTCTGTGCACCACAATTTTTTTGTGCCCCCTTGCTCGCTTGCTTTGTTAAATCATTGAAAGAATATAAACTTGCGTGAGAAATGAATTTAAATCGGGTTTGAAGGGCCAAGACCCTCTCAGATATTTGTTTCCCTCGGGAACCGTCGACGAACGGAGTGCTCGTGAACGAGAGGCGCGGCAACGAAAAATCCGACCTAGGAATAAGGGATTAGAATGCAATTTTCTGGCTTGTGTGTCAATGTGTACAATTTTTCATGTTTTTGGCCTCATCAAAACATGAATATTGATATATTCAAGTCTCCAGGAGACCCACTGGCTCCTGACTGCTGGTATTACCCGTGGAAGCGAAAGGGTACTGCAAATTTTGTTGAAAGTGCCGGCTTTGTCTCATTACCACGCTTGCCATTGCTCCTCGTGTTTCTTTTGTCAGCGCTGAGAATCGCCCCCAAAAAACCAAAACAGTATGCCTTGGGCTCGTGGATTAGGTAAAAGGGGGATCGTCATCAATGCTCATTGCTCGCTCAAGCTTCCTCCTTGTCTCAGTGATCCTGAGCTTAAGGAAAAGAAATGAGTTGAGTAGATCCTCTGGTCTCATAAATTTAATTAGCAACTACCTACTTACGATGCAAATTGATTCGTGTCTGCATAGGTTTTCCACGACTGCGAAGCCCTGATGAGATAAAATGATCATGGGATATCACGGACTGCAAGGTCGACTCGATGCGGTTGCCTGAAGATGACCACGGACCGAGCCGACGCAAAGTTTGCAATCCGCCTGCACCCTCACGTGTAGCAATGTTATGACCCCTGACGTTCCCATTTCGTTGATAATCTACAAGCAAAAGAAAAGTAAAGTACTAATGATATCTCAAATGCTCGTTATTCCGATATTACTTTTCGGACTCTTTATGCTTTGGATCAGATGTGCTTGCGTGAATTTTCTGCTCCACAGCATCATTCTTCATATGAGCGATATTTAAAACCACGAGACGGGGTGACCTGTCAAGGATGGACAAATCCATCAAGGCAACTCGAAGGTGATATCGAAATATAGGGAAAAGAGGAAATAGGATATTCCGGTGGCGGTCAAGCCGTTACAAATATGTACACATTAAAGTTGGTTTTGAAATCTTGTGTACAACATACGAATACCAAAAAAAAATATGAGTCAGACGTGTTGCGTTCAGAAGCCTATTTGATGATTACCTCGTACTTTTTTTTTAAAAAATATTAATATGATAGGAATGCCTCGATCTCGTCTAACAAGCAAAAAATTGTGTGAAAGATAAGTGTAGGATGCGGTACTCCTCTTTTATTGAAGTTAGCACTCAATAAAAGGCACAGAATGTAACAAGCATTTACAACCATTTCTCTCTAAAGCATTGTTTTCCTATTAACTCGTATTCAAAGCACCGTGGCCCGTATTTGTTAATTTTGGCACCCTTTTCGCCCTCTCTTTTCAAAATTATTCGTTTGTCCCTAGTGTAACAGTCTACTGTTTATTTCAAATTATCACAACTTCCG